TCAAAAGTTAACCTTTCTTACTTGTCAAATGTTTCTCCTACACAATTCCTCTGCTCTCTCTAACCCTAATTCTGTTTTCCTTTAAAGTTTGCCCCAATTCTGGTTTTTCTGGACAACTCCACCATTCCATGATCCCCTTCCCCTCTGTATACCTGAAGTACTTTTTGGCTCTCCTACTCATTTAAGCCTGAGTGTATACCTTCTCTGGTGTTACAGTAGATAGAGTGCTAGGCCTAGAGTCAGGAAGACCTAAGTTCAAATCCAGCCTCTGACACTTACAAGTTGTGTAACCTAGGGCAAGTCACTTAATTTCTTTTTGGCCCAGTTTCCTCATCTGTAAAATGAGGATAATAACAGTGACTACCTCCCATGGTTGTGAGGATCAAATGAGTTAATAATTGCAGAGTGCTCAGCACATAGTAAATGTTACATAAATATTGGCTAGTATTATTATTTGTCTTTTCAATGTATGTCCTATCTCCCTACCTGGATTGCAAATCGTTCAGAGGGTCCTTGTCTTATACACATTTGTATCTCCAGAATATAATAGGCAAAAAATAAATCATTGCTGCTGCTAATTTGACTCAACATTGTTTCCTATTCTCTATCCATTTTTAATACATATTCAACACTTTAAGAATTGAGTTTCAATGCATCAAGCTTGGCCCTGATACTTCTAGATCTTATAGCTAGTATTGTCACATTAACATAGATAATGCATAGATATTTCTGCTAAAAGAAATCCAAGATAAATTCAGTGATTGGAGCAAGTTCTTGTCACATCCTTGTGTGGTTTTCAATCACAGATACCTCATATGGTCTGAAATTAGTAACATATGAATGACAAATTTGTCATAGCTTTCAATCCAACATGTTCAAAAAATATGTATGAAACATCTATTAATTGCAGGCACTATTCTAGGCCCTGGAGATACAGAGACAAAAACAAATAGTTCCTAGCCTCAAGGAGGCTATGACATTTTAACAACGTTTCTTCATTTATTAGTGCACCATTTGACAATACAGAATAGACATAACTTTCACCTCTCAGTTTCCCAGGAAGAGATGTGGGTTTGAGGAGCGGAATTAGCAGTGTCACTACCACTACTACCATCCTCAAGTACTCCATAGCTAGGAGAAATGCTGCCACTCCCTCCTCTTACTGTGTGTTCTCCTTCTCCCTCACCTTGAGAGTTTCTTAAAATGCCCATTATAGCAAAAACCATGCCAGGAAGAAATACAATTCTGTGGTCCTTAGTATCTGGGCTTACTTGCAAGGCAGCCAGTCCCAGCCTTTCCAGAAGAACTGTTTTAGAGTCAACCCTTTCATTTTATAGATGAGGAAACCAAGGCTTAGAATGGTTAAGTGACTTGCCCAGGGTAATATAACTAGTGTTTAAGGGAGTATTTGAAGTCGGGTCTTCCTGACTTTAAGTATAATATTACACCACCTTTAGAGCACTATCTCAGTGCTATTGAACACTGTTGCCTCAACATAGCATTGATACATACAAAAAAATTAAGAAAATTGTTTTTAATTGATGTCACCATACAGAATGCTCATACTCTCTGAGGTCTCTACATTGTCTGGGTTTAGTTAAGATAATTAACATAGCCAGTAATAAGGGAGGACAAGCAAGTTGGAGACAATAGTTAAGATAGACTTTTGTTGTCTAGATCTAATATACATATATGTATACGTGTACATATACACATATGTACGTATATACACATATGTATATGTGTGTATGTTCCTTTACTAGTTATCAGGCACTTCAGGCTCCTGATCAAGGCATTGCTGAAGTAGCACAGAAATGAAAGGGTTGACTCTAAAACAGTTCTTCTGGAAAGGCTGGGACTGGCTGCCTTGCAAGTAAGCCCAGATACTAAGGACCACAGAATTGTATTTCTTCCTGGCATGGTTTTTGCTATAATGGGCATTTTAAGAAACTCTCAAGGTGAGGGAGAGGGAGAACACACAGTAAGAGGAGGGAGTGGCAGCATTTCTCTAAGTGTTTCCAGCACTCTGATCTTAGCCTTACTCCTATTAGCTTAATATTAGTTTGCAAATATTGTATATTAATAGTAAATAAATAGTAAAATAACAATAGCAGGTTTGAATCCCATCAAAAAAAGACAGGAAGAATCAGTAACAACCTATCTTATTCTCCAGACTAGACTTATTCGTTAATTAATGCATTGTTGTTAATTAGCATCATTAAATTCTAGATTTTCTTAAGAAAGGGAAATTTAAAGTTATTAAGCTTTTTTTTTAATTTGGGGAGTTATCTTTTGTCTAATTCCACTCTCTTTTTATTAAAATGTAACTTCCTAGTTTTCAAACACAAGAAGTAAAAGAAATAAACAAATAAGTAAACCCATAGTCGAATCTTTGTTGGACACCAAGTGTAACACTATTGCTTTATAAACACAAATAGGAAAACTAATTTTTACTTACATAAAAGGCAGTATTTAAAATTTTTTAAAGAATATTTTCTTTTTATCTTTATGCCTATGAAATAGTAAGGTAGACCAAAACTATTCCAACAACAATCTAAGAAGAAAGCCAGGAATAGGAATCATGAAATTGAAGGAGAAATTACAGTGTCTTTCCATCACAAGATGGAAATTTCAACTTATAGGCAAGTGACTAGGACAGGAACTTTGGAACTCTGGTATAGGCTGTTACCGTAGGTATCAGCTCCCAGAGATCCAACTTAGGCCAGTAATACTGGAAGTACCAGAGACAACCCCCAGGGTTCCTAGCTAGTCCAGTAAAGCAAGTTCATGAAGAGCACAATGGACCTCACACCCAGAGTTCTAGCTAAGCAGCATATCAGGAGCGGATCATAGACTCAACCCTTAGACTTCCAAATAGCTGAAAAGGAGTTAAGACCAATTACTCTTTCTAGGAGCATCACTCAGGGGCAAGTCTACAGCAGTGGGGCCTAGCCTCAAATTGGGGCTTAGAGCCTGGAAAGCCCATGAGGACACAAACCAGAATGTCCTCTTGATCAGGCCACATAGGGTTTGCTGAAAGTTTACAATTCCTTATTCCAAGCTGCCCCTGTGATTCTTAAAGAATCTAACACTCAGTACCTGAATAACATTGTGCAGGACCCCAGACAAAGCAGGCTAGAAAAATAGGCTTTCTGGTAAGCCTGATAGAAGTAAGCAGAGCCTGGCCCTAACACAAAGTTCCAATTCATGAAACAAGACTGAAAGAATGAATGAGTCATTTTTGGTTTTAGTTTTTTTGTTTGTTTTGTTTTTTAATGTTCCAGTTAGACAGAGGTAGGAGCTACAAAGGAATGGTAGAGACGACTGATCACTGGCAATAAAAATCATATTCAATACAGGGCAAAGCCAAGAGAACAACTTATGGTATAATATCAACATTGTAAAAACAAGCTTTTTATTTTTTAAAGACATGAACAACATGATAAACACAGTGATCGATCATAACTCCAGGGGATTAATAACTTACCTCCTGATTGATGATGAACTAATAAGCAGAATGAGATGTATTTTTGGATATGGCCAATATGAAATTTGTTATGTTTGACTATGCTTACTTTCACAGGACTTTTGTTTTTCTTTTCTTTTTTTAGTGAGCAGAGGAGATGGAAGGCAGAAAAAAGATAAATGCTTGAAAAAATTTCAAAATAAAATTGAATAAAAAGATAAGATAAATAGAATGTTTGACAGAAACATAATGATAGAAAAAGTAGCAAACAATTGCATTATAATAAACGATGAAACATACTAGCTCTAATTTTAACATTGCCTCACACCCCAAGTCCCCTCCAAGATAAACAGATATACCAAATGCATGAACAGAACACTCTAATTCCTTGTGGTCATTAAAGCTAAAAACTGGGTCTTTAAAAAAGTCATAAGGGAGGACCCTGTGATCTTCCTCTTATTTACCCAAATTCAAATTATGACCATTGCTTATAAATTCCTTTCGAGCAAGACCTCCTCTTACTAAATTTTCTATTCTCAATGTGTCTTTGCATAGTAAATGTTTGTTGAATGAATGAGTGATAGATCCAGCCCATAAAAATAGTCCTGGTATTAGCTTGAGAGTTAATTACAAGACTGCAATGGCACTTTTGGAACGGTATATAGATGGTTGGAATGAATATACCATGTTAAAACAGGAGTCACTGGAGAATATTATTTAAGAATTTCAAGTGATGGCTGAGATTTCATATTTGACTTACTTTACCATAAGATATCTTTTGTTTCCTGGGTTTTTTTTCTTCGAGTAATATAGCTAATCCAGTACCTTCATCTAATTAAAAAAAAAAAACACAAAACACATTGGCTTGGGGAATAAAACAGAAAATTATACTGGGTGGAGAAAAAGAAAAAAGAAACTGTTTTGTCAGATTTTTATAGTTTGGGAACTTTAGCAGCCTTGGTTTTTCTATTCTTCATGATTTGAATTATTACACTGATTTGTTGGGACTGAGTGGGAATCAGTTGCTTCACAAATAAATATGATGTTTCTGGAGCAGGGAATAAAATTAATGAGCTGCCAAAGAAGCAAGTAATGGGATAGGTCAGAACTGCATTTTTTGCAAAGTTTACACAAGTTATCTGAGGCGATTGTGAAAGCATTGGTCAATCCGAAGTACTGTAAACGAAAGATTAAAAAAAAAATAAGGTAACTATTTACTTCCCCTCTGTCCCTCTTACTGTCCCCCCCTTTTGAAAAGATTTAATTAAGCAGACATTTAGTTTCAGCAAATGGGAGATGGGGTATACAAAAAGTATTCTTTAACTGATTCTTTGCACAATCTGGGAACTTGAAAATAATCCAACTGAGAACATGCCTGTATTTTTAATGACAAATCAGAATGGAGGTCACAACTTTAACAGTGAGTGGGAGGATACAGAGAATTCTGTTCGTAACTTGGCAAGGAATGACAGATTTGTTGAGTTTTGTGATTTGATATTTGTTAGGTGTTGTTTTTTTTCCTGGTTTGGTTTTTTTTTCCCCCTAGCTTTGCTCAAGTTTCTAGTAGGTGGAACATTTAGTTAGTGGACTTTATTCAAGCAGCATATTTTCAACTTCTGTTTGAAACAAGATCTCACTTGGAGCAGTCAGAAGAGAACATTACGTAGTATCAGCAATATCTAGCTCCTAAATGTATCTTGCTTCCAAGACCAAAAAATGAAATTTCCAATAAAGATTACTTTACTTCTATTGTGGACTGTCTGTGCTGCACAAGGTAAGGGGACAGGGTTTTGATTACCTCTAAGGAAACTAAGAAACATTTGTTAATATGCTTTACCGAGACTTACTGAGGTGTGTAGGGGTGGAGAAGGGGGAGGGGGAGGCAAGTTATAGATTATAATTGCATTCTTGTTCTATTTCTATAGTGAAGCACATATGGATGTTTAAAAATGTTAATTATTTAAGTAGCACATTTAGATGTTTCTTTTCTCTATTTTATTTCCAGGTAAATATTATAAAATTATTTTTTGAAGTAGTCATTTTTGAAGTAGTAAGTTTCTTAAAGAGTACCCATTCTTGATTCATTAAGTAAAATATTCCTTAAAAAATTTGTTTTGCTGAGTTATTATTTTACTCTTCTGGGGATTTTTACATAAAATGCCCAAGACAAAATCTATACTATTATTACTGGATTGATAGCTAGCCTAGATAGTATCTGTGTCTAGAGATCAATGTATTTCTTTTCTGTTTCCAGCGCCCTTGGTGTTTTGTTTTGTTGTTGTTTTAATAATTCTAATATACCATGAGTGGAAATTCCTTATAACACTTCTGTAAAAATAGCATTAATTCAAGTTAGTAGGAAGGTCAATCCATGAATTGCTAACTTCATTCTATTATTAGGTTCCTTTCAAAGAATTATTTTTAATATGAACTTCAGGAAAATCCTCTATTAAATGAAATATTCTAGTAAGAAAACAGAATGAGATAGGCCTTTTTCAGTATAGTGAGAAAATTAATGAATGAACTTCTGTTATCACACATATATTTTAAATGAGCTCTAGTGTTTCACAGCAAATTGGTGGGTTGACCTTTGGGTGCTTTACTTTGATGGTGCATGTAGGATAAGTAATAACTAGGATTAATATTTGATGTATCTATTTCATCTAATTGCATTAAGCATCTTTTATTTGAGGAGGAAGTCATTATATAGTATGAAGAGTTCTGAATTTGAAGTCAACAGAGATCTGGGTTCAAATCCTACCACTAGCACTGACAAAATGTGTGAACAATTCACATAATCACTCTGGGCTTCATTCAGTTTCCTCATGTGCAAAATGAGGACGATCATATTTTTAGTATCTACCTCACAAGATTGTTGTGATGATCTAATAAGATACTGTATGTAGAATGTTTTACAAACCCAAAGCACTGTATAGATGTCAACTATTATTTTTCTTATGATTGTCAGAAATATGCTATCTATATAATATCTTTAAATGTATATATTTAAAGTTCACAGATTCTAGGTTAAAAACTCTTAATTTAAAGGTTGAGTTGAATCCTTTAAAGGATTCAACAAACCAGCATGTATGCGAGTAGGGGTAGGGGAGGCATTGGTGGAAATTCTAGGCATAGAAAATAGAAGGAAAAAAGAAATTAAGGCAGGCAAGCATTAGACATATTAAGTATGGGATGGGGAGGGGTGAAGGATGAGGTCAAAGAGGCATTAATTTGATTTAGTCTAAAAGACAGAGTATGAGAAAAGCAAGTAATGGGAGTAAAGTTTTTTTTTGTTTTGTTTTGTTTTGCTTTTTTGCTAGGCAATGGAGTTAAGTGACTTGCCCAGTGTTACATAGCTAGTAAGTATCAAGTGTCTGAAGCCAGATTTGTACTTGTACTCCAGGGCCAGTGCTCTACCCAATGCATCACCTAGCTGCCCCCAGGAATAAAGTTTAAATAGGTAGTATGTTGCCAAATTTTGGAGGAACTTGAATGTAAGGTCTAAGGAGTTTGAACATTATCCATTTATGTATTTATTTTAAGATGTATTTTATGTTTATGTATTTATTTATGAGGTAGGTGGTAATGAGGACCTATACTCATAGATAGTAGGGATAGGAAGTGCAGAAGGAAGGTAGAATAAATAGTACCTGTTAGTTGATTAGATATGAGACATGAGGGAGAGGGCCTAGCATAGTTAAAGGTAGCAATAAGGTTTAAAAAATGGGAGGGTGGCTGACCAACAACAACAAAAACAAAACTAAACATTATAATTACAATGACCCAGCTTGGCTCTAAAGAAAAGTTGCAAATGCTTACCTCCCTCCCTCCTTTGCAAAGGACAAAGACTACAAAGTGTAGAATATTATATATATATATACACATATATATATATGTATGTATCTTTTGTCAGTTACAGTTGATATGTTACTTTTGCTAAACTCTATTTTTTATCTTTCTTTTAAAAATCTTTGTTACAAAGGATGGTGTGTATGTGGGGTGGACATGAGGATATGTATATTTTGAAATAAAAGTGTTATAAAAATAAAAGGTATCATCCTGCCCTAATGTGCTTTTACATATTTGCACAGATGGTCCTCGGGCCTGAAATATATTCTATTCTCTCAAGGCCTGGATCTAGGGCCAGTAATTCCTCTACCATGAAGCCTCCCCTGGTCTCTTCAATTTCTCTAAAGGCCTATTATCCTGTGTAAATATCAGATTTTACCTTTTGCTTTATTTATTGATTTACCTGTCATATCTCTCATAGTAGAATGTAGTCTCCTTGAGAATAAAGACTATATTGTTATCTTTGTATTTCTAGCATCTAACATACTGTCTTGCACAGAGTAGCACCTTGACATACACATATATGGGCACACACACACAGACATATATGTGTAATATATATGTATGTATATATATATAGATATGTATAGTATTAAACCACAGGGAACTTCTCCAAGTTGTTAATGATAAAATGTGGAATAACTGTATAGTATAGAGGGCAGAGTCCTGTGACACATTGTTAGAAATTTCTTTGGGCATATCTAGTTCAAACTTTTGTGAATTTATCTGATAGGGCTATCATGCATCCCATGTTTTTCCATCTTTTTTTTTTTTTACAAGGATATCATGTGAGAATTTGACAAACACCTTTGAAAAGTGAAGATACATTACAGTATATCTGTGGAACCTGAAATACTTAGATTGTTAGGACTGAGAAAAATCATATATGTGAAAATCTGAATAGTATAGACGATTACTCTCTATTGCTTCCTGTTACATACTGTTGTGCTATTAATCATGGTTCTCATCCATGTCCATTATACTTTTTATGTAGTGAGTTGTGTTGAATTTCAGTTTCCTCATCTGTAAAATAGGGATAGTAAAGCTTTACTATAAAACTGTTAAGGTTCAATGCAATTGAACAAACATTTTAAAGAACCTAAGATATGCAAGACAATAGTAGGTACTGAAGGTAAAAATACTAACTTGGAAAAGAAAACAGTTGTTGACCTTAAGGAGCTTACATTTTACTGGGAAGATAAATACAAAATACAGTCAGTCCTCAACATTTGCGTACATTGGTGCGATTTTATTAGTAACCTCATTTTTGCTTTGCATTGGCAACTGCACATTCAAGGCTATATGCAGTAGAGGGGAAAAAATGAGAGGTGTGATGTGTACATTTGTGGAGCAGCTGGTATTCTACTAGGTACTTCACTGGTCTTGTTCGTCTTATTGTTTTAAAGAGTTCCTTGTACATTTGTTGCATATTTTCATTGTTTGCCTTTGAAACTCAGGCTTTGTGTTGCAGTTATGCCCCCAAGGCTGCAAGTCTTAAGACTGAGCATTCAAAATCAATGATTCAGCTCAGTCAGAAAATAAATGTGCTAGATAAACTTATGCCAGAATGTCTGCAGCTGTCATCTCCTGGAATTTGGTGTTAACAAATTAATGATTCATTATATCTGCAAAAAAAGGAGGAAAGTACTCATGGTACTGTAGATTTCATTTGTATTAAAAAGTGAATATTGTTTGAAATCAAAAAATGTTTTTAATTGAGATGTTTGCACAAAAGGTCACAGAATTCTACAGCATTTCTAACTAGAAAAATGTTTTACATGTTAACAATTTTATTTTGTGTACCACATTTTATGGGTTATTTCATGATTACTATGTTAGCAAAAGTAAGTATTATCAGAATTGATGATTTGTTATAAAGAATTATACTCAGAAAAGTGTATTTTCCGTGATTTCTAGCAAAAAATTATTGCTTTTGGTGGTTGTGGGAACCTAACCTCCTATTTCCAATAGGTTCAACATATCAACATTTGCATTTTTGACTTCCATGCAGTTTTCTAGGAATGTTACCTCCTCCCTCAAAATTTGAGTAGTGACTATAATTTAAGGAGGAAGAATGCACTATTACATAATGGTTTAGGAAAATCTCATAAAAAGTGATGCCTGAGCTAAGCTTTCAAGTAAATTTAAGGAATAGTGGAAAAGCAATTCCTTTATATCTCCCTAATTGAGTCCCTATCCCACTCACCACAGTGACTTTTCCAAATCTTTTAATCCCTCCCCAATACTCCTGTGGTGCCTCTTCCCCTTACCTTCTCAAATAAGAGCTCTGTCAGATAGTTCACCCAAGAGCTATTCTTCTCCCCTCTTTTTCATCTCATACCACTCAAATGCCTTCTGCCACTTTCTCCTGTTTCACCCCTGTCTCAAATAATAATATAGTCACTCTTGTCAGGGTAATTTCCTCTCCCATCTTCTCCAATAGATTGTTCCCTCCATCATCCCCACTTTGTCACTAATTTTCAATCTCTCCCTGTCTACTGGTTGCTTCCCTATTGCCTACAAATACATCCTTGTCTCTGACTTCTTCAAAAAAGCCTTTACTTGGTCCATCTCCCTCTGACAGATGACGTCCCATATCTCTCCTCCCTTTTGTGAGATAACATTTGTAAAGTGCTTTAACACAGTACCTGGCACATAGTAGATGCTTAATATATGCTTATTCCCTTCTCCTCCCTTCTGTAAACTCTTTAAGAAAGCTCTCTAAAAAAGGCATTCTTTCCTCTAACTCTCTCCTTAGGCTCTCTATAATCTGGCTTTCAACTTCATTATTCAACTGAAGCTGCTTTCTCCAAAATTTTAATGATCTTTTAATTGGTAAATCTAATGGTCTTTTTTTTAAAAAAATTCTTATTCTTCTTGAACTCTCCACATCTTCTGACACTGTTCATCACCCTCTTCCCTTAG